ACTATTCTTTATGAGATTTTTGAGATTTGAATCTGCATCTAGTCTCCGCTTATATGCATTTGAAACAATTTTAAAATGCCATGCAGCTACCTCATGGAAAAATACTTGTGCCCTTGACATTTATGAACATGCCATGGCAGTATATGCAGCAGCTTTTAAGAGTAAAAGTATTGTTTGTTAAGATTACCAAGAGAAAAAGTTGTAGACGAGCAAGCCCGACAATGGGATACCCTGAACCCAAAATTGAAGAACGAAATTTAAAGTGGTGGGACTAAAATTGTTACTTATTATCAATATTTTACGAGACAAGTCGATAGACGGATACGGCTAGCTCAAGTTCTTTCGCCTGCGTTGAAGATGCTTTCGTATGGTCCATATACATGTAATATACCTACTGATCACTTCGGGTTGTAAAGCCTTAAGGTTCTAATCAATACATTTTACTCTGTTAAGCTGTAATGTCTTAAATCAGTAAATCAAAGATACGTAAATAAGGCACGAAACAAGAAATATTCTTAAGCCCGATTTTTAAACCCTAAGTAAGCTTTTCTTCATATTGTGTGTGGTTTATAATCTTGATCGGCGTATGTCCCTAGGTGTTATTGTTCAAAGTTTCTCGGTATACTCTGTATGAATATATATGGACAACAAACATATTAAATATCACCTGCGCCATGCTGGTACATATGTTCATAAAGTATTTTCTCTTGCCGACTTTTGATTGATTATGCATTTTAACGCAAACTGCCTGTAGGTTGAAGGGCGCGCATGAAAATAGCCCGCAGGTTGTGGAAACATGGTGGTGCCATCTCTGGGTGTGAATAGTTCCTCCGCATGTCTATATGTAACACTAGGTTGTTATGAGACCTGTGAGCAAGGGCGACCTTCACACAGCAGCCGCAGGCGCTGTCCATTGTATGGCAACGTGCAATTAAATAAAATGCTAAATGCCCAAGAGCCAACGAAGTGCAATAAAAAATGCACGAGTACGAGTATGTAATGCATACGAGTTGCAGTCGAAGTGGCCTGCATAGAAGGCGCCGCAGTAAAAGATTTATGCTGCCATCTGAAAAAGAGCAGAACAGAGTAAAGCTTAGCAGAGCAGACAACGCTGGCGGCCGCGTTCGCTGCCTTTGTGTGACAGTTTGACATTGAAAAAGTGTAATTAATTAGTCAAACCGTCGAGGACGGCCCAAGCCAAGGCACGGCCCATATTGTGGCGATGCGGCTTCAAACAGGTGGGTGTGTTTGCAGTCAGTGCGTGCAGGAGCCCCCAGCAGGCGATGTTTGCAGCTGCCAAATCGATTTACACAAGATTTATGACAGCCATTCAGAAAGCGTTGTGCTGGCTGCGCTTTAAAATCAATCAAAAACTAGTCAACATGCAAAAAACATATTTTAAAGTCAAAAAAACATCTGACTACTGTTAGGCGAACAAATGCACATGAGTTAGAAAAAGCTGATGGAGGATGGAAAAAATTGAATTGTGTTGATGCCGTTGTCGTTGTCAGCGACGCGTCAGCATCCGCTTGCTGAACGCCTGATGTTGCATGTAATTGTATTTTTTTTTTGGGTGTGTACACACAACGCATCTTTACATACAAATGTATTATGTACGTGTCGGTCGCTAATACCCACACACACATATACAGAGGCATACATGCAGTCAGGCATGCAGAGAACATACAAAAGTTTGCCTTCGAAAGCAGATTTTTCAAGCTATCAGCGTTTATTTTTAATAAAGATGCGATCAGCGATATTTTCGTTAGTGTGTGTGTGTGTGTGTTTCGGTTGAGCAGGCAAAAATGTGTCACTCGCTTCTTTGACTTTGATTTAGTGGCTAGACAGGTTAATACAAGATGAGATCATCAACGGCAAAGGCAGCGACAACGACAGTGGCATTGCCAGCAGCAGTGACAAGCATTGATGACGACGACGATAGCGGCGACAACAGCAGCATCCAATACGTAGGAGCTACACATAAAATACAACAAACAACGACTTTGACTCAAACTGTACTGAAACTGAAGTAGCCACTGGCCTTCACTGTTAATTTTGACAATATACGAAGGCATCGATAAACAGTGTGGTAGTTCAAATGAAAAAGAATAGACAATATCCCAATGTTAAGAAAACACAAAGATCGAACTTATATTTTACTATATAACTGAAAGCATATGAATGGGTACAAAGAAGATGAACAGTGATGTGGACATTGAGCCTTTAGAAAATGCGGGTTTTTTGATAGATAAGGGATTAGGCAAAGCTTAAAAAACTTATAAATATCGACCAACTTAAATCAATTCCAATGACCACAGCTCTAAGACAAGTGGATTCAAAAACTATTGCTTAATGCTGGTTACTTCAAAAAACTCTTCTCAAAATTAATTATTTGCATTAGAATAATATTGAGATAATAACTTTTCTAAATCAATTTTATATTGTGGGGTCTGACATAGCTCATCGAGCTAGCTAGAATCCCACAGTGTGAATTCGTTCCTTGAGTAGGCACTCGGTTCGAATCACAGACAGAGCTTAAATAAAGATTAAACATTAAAAAAAAATTAATATTTGATTCATATTTCTTACGGAATAGGTCAGCTTTAGGTCAGGAAAACTCCCTTAATGGATACGTCTTTTACCCGGACATTCTCTTCGGCGGACTTTTTCTAAAACACTCGATCGGTGTATAAAGTATTCAAGTATCCCTTGTATTTAAGCATCCAAGGGAAGTACTTGGGCGGACAAAAATTGGCCTATCGTAGGTGTCCGGACAAGACAGTTTTCACTGTACATGCGATAGCCCGCCGGGTAATCTTAATGACCGATTTGAAATAAAAGACAATAACAATATTATTATTATTATTATTATTATGAAATTTTCAAGTTATTGAACAAACACAGCACTTACACACAATTAAGCTTTATACAAAAGCCATTAACGATTGAAAAGCTGCTAAGCTTTAACTGTGCAAACTCCATTTTTTCTGAAGAATAATTATATAGACTGAGAGAATAAATAGTTTTCTACAAGTCTTTGTTGGGCATAGGCATAACAAGGCCTTAAATCAGCGTTAACAATCTTAACAGCGAGCGCAATTATCACGCACAATAAATCTTGGCTTGCTGGCCGGCTCCCAGAAGCCGAAAGAGCTGCACAATGGATACACAACTAACACCCAAGCTCCTCTGATGGGTAGGTCGGTGGCAGCGGCAAACTAACAACCCAATCCAGTCGCATTCCCACTACCAGTCCGAACCCAATCAACCAACCAAATTACGCTCAACATAAATTTATCAAACATCACAAAATATTTGCAACAGCAATAAACATAAAATGCCCCAAACGAGACGAGAAAAAAATAAAGCAAAAATCTAAGAAACGATTTTCTGAAAAAGAACGAACTTCAGGTTTAATTAAGTGATCATGAACATGGCAAACACCAAAGGCCAAACACAAACGACTAAGCAAGATTAGATGATGCTGGCAACGTTCGCTTGAGCTCTCTCTTTAACTGTCGTTAGAAGTTAGCAGTCGGTTGCTTTTTTCTTTAAGGCCGACCAAACGAAAATGTATTTCCTTTGCATCCTGAACCCAGCAATATTTATAAGGGCAAAGCGCATGTAATTTAGCTTAGAGTGTGTACTTTATTTAAGCGTTTATTAGCTGATAAACCGAAATAGATAAATCGTGGCTAGGGCCAGTGCTCTGCATGGGAAGCGCGCGCACAGTTGGCAAAAAGGGCTGGCCAACTGCATCTGCTCTCCACAGCTCTATAGTTCTATAGTTCTGTAGCTCCATTACCCGTCCCCTTGGTCTGCGGCAGGAACGGCTGCACTTTGTTGAAGTTTTTATTACCATGCAGCCCAAGATGGCAGTGCTCGAGGCAAAATTTATATATGTTTGCAGATAGATAATGGTAAATATTTTAGCATATACATGCGCTAACGTTCGCGCTAAGTTAAGAAAGTTGTTTGTTCACGCCCAACACGTACGAAGGAATATCTGAAGAATACACGTGGCATTCATACTTATATACGAGTATAAGCCTGTCGGAGTTCATTATCACCATTCTAAGTTATGCGGACTGCTGGAGAGCACTCTTCGTTGTACTTCAGCTCTTGACCACTTCCGGCTCCACAAATTCTGTAGATTATGTCATAATTGCTTCAGCGACCCATGCCATAAAATGCTGCTATCAGTTTTCACACACAAATTTTAAAAAAATTCCCGTCATTGCGCGTCAAAAAGAAAAAACAATTTTGTTTAATTTTCCAAGTTGGTTTGACCAATTAACACCCAGCCATGCCCATGTTTTGCCTTCAGTACACCTAATATCTCTTTTCTTGTTAGCCTCTGATATTACACAAGAAGGCAGCACCAAAAATTCATGAAAATTCATTCGACAACAACAAAACTGAAAGTGGAAAATTAATGAAGACGGCGAAACAAAAAACTGCGTGAGAAACCACAGCTACGAGTATATAGTGTAGTATAGAAAACAATGTGTGGCAGTAAACATTTTGCCAGGCGCTATTGTGTCTGTTTTTCATGCGGGTCTGGGCCTAGGACTGTGTGCATGTTGCCGTTTTATAAATTTCAAAGAAAAGGCGAATAAAGTGCGTCTGGGCCATGTTTGCGCATAAATTTCAAGTGTCATTTACCTGTTGGTTAGCAGCGGCCTTTTTTATTGCCTTCCGTTACGTCTTCGCACTTGGCATACACATTTTGGCATCTGTAATACCTTCAGTCATCAGAAATAGCCAATTTGGTGAGGTCTGCGTGTCTGAAATTTAAAATTAATTATTTCTACTTGTCTTTTGTGGTGGGCTCGGCAAAGCAGGAAATCGCATTACTTCGCTTTTTGTGTCAGCCTTTTGATGTGCCTTGTAAGCTGGCATATATTTTTGATGTTGATCTAACACCCATTAAATTGTACACCTTCTTTTTTATCTAATAATCTTTTAATGTGTTATATTTTTTTTATTTTTCAGCAAAAATGAAAATATTTTTGCCACTAGTCACGTGGATAGTGCTACTACTCTCGAGTACAGTAAGTATCTTATAAAACATTCTATATATTCTAAGCTATATTTAGTTCTAAAGTAGACAAATGACATCATAAATATTCTATAACAATTCAAGCATTAACAGTTAGCACATAATCTATAATTCATTTATGACTTGAACTTTAAGCCAATGCCTACAATAAACTTTCAAAAGATGAAACGAACAAAAACAATCAAAAAACCTGACAAATTTACGAGCTAGCACCTCTCTAATGAAACAAATGATTTCTACTAATACTAAAGCCAAATATATATAACATATAGACAATAGGCAAAGAGATGCTTGATGAGCACAATGAACAAAGCTTCGAAAAATTTTATACGCAGGCCGAAGGTTAGAACAAACAAATGGAACCAATGGAAACATTCTCGAAATAACGGCACTTTCTCGACATGCAAATGAGCAATTGGGAAGAAATTGCTACAAAATTATGGACAGCAAACAAATTTATTAAACCTAACAGCTTGTTGTGAACTAAGAAGGTAGAAAGGCAGGCATTGACTCAAGCAAAAAGTAAACAATTTGCCACACAAATTCTCATAAAAAACGAAGTGACTTGCTAGTCAGCGGTACATAAGGTTTATTTAATACAAATTTGAGCAAAAAAGACGAAAAACAAAATACTACAACATCGAAACATTATTGTCGGCTTCGCTATGTAATGATAGGGCAGCAGCAGGCAACGGATCGGCATCGGAGGGCCAAAATGACCAGCGATAGTACAACGGTCAACGACTGACCGGCCGGACTGACAAGTGAGCTCACCATACAAGTAGAAATGGCCAGAAATCGATGAAGAAAGGCAAACGTAATGAATAGAAATAGCCGCATTAGCTGTAAAAACGCGTTGATAGTCATCGATTTATGCAGTAGAGCTATAAATACAACAACTACGTAAACTACGAGTAACATCCTACCGGCAATGTGAGAGAATAGTGTGAATGAGTTCGACTCAAGCTTTGGGGCGAGAAAGAAATGGGAAAGATCGGAAATGCCCCAGCTTAGTTTCAGACTGTTGAAAAATTGGTCAAGCGAATGCTTTAAGCAAAAGCTACGCCATAAGGTTATTGACTTTTTACACAGACCAGCATGGGCTATGACTACGCAAGCTTTTGTGTTTTATTGTTTTTGTTTTTGCGAGCGCAGCACATTGTTTATTTTTTATAGTTTGGGAAAGCTTTCTTTTTACGTTTTGATATATGCGTACGCCGTACGGACTGGCAATTTTTACTTAATCTGATTTACTGGCTTTTGGCATATGAAAACAAAAGACTTAGGCAACGAACTTGGCAAAAACCTACTGATATACAAAACTCAAAGCTTGCTGCACTTAATACCCATTGACAGTTATAACGGATGCACTTGAGCGTTGAAGTGCGACGTTGTCGTTACCATCATACTCATCATCATTGTTGTTGTTGTTGTTGTTATTGTTGTAAGCCTGAAGAAAAATTGCATTGTGTGGCTTGCATTGTGGCCGTTCATGGTCATGGGAGTTTCGTTTGAAAGCAATGAAGCAGCTTTCAACTCCCGCACATATACAGGTACGAGTACACACACCACCTCTTACGCGCCTTTAATTATTACGTTGCTTCTGCTACTGATTCTGCTGCTGTTGCTGCTGCTGCTGCTGTTGAGTGCATGATGTGTCGCTCATTGTCAATTGATAAAAGTAGGAACAGCAAACGGCAAGCAACTGAATCTATTGTCTAGCAAGGCCGTTAGCGTTGCATGGCGTAAAGCAACTAGACAACACAAAAAACAAAGCAATTCAAAAAAGACCTCAAGCACCTCAGAACGCATATAAACGTATGTAGTTAGTAGGTGCCGTCTGCCAATTTGGCTGCTGATAAAAATCTTCCTAAAACAACAATCCAACTCTACTTGAACTTGACAGCTACTATTTCATGATCACGCCTCCAACTACAGCAATTATGGTGTTATTGGCTTCTTTGTGCTGCTCATTAGCCAGAATATAACACAGTCAAGTAGGTGTGTGAGATTCTAAGAGGCTTGCCTAAGTGCCGAGAATATTGACAGACATCAAGTTGTCATGTAAGCCTATATTTTCAGGCAATTCAAGCAAACACCAAAATTGGTGGGCTTTTCAAATGCTCCTTCCATATGCTACCGATTAAAGAAAGCAATTCATGCCACCTCAAAATCATATGTCCCCATGATTATTCGAGCATCAACATCAAAAGATATGAGAACTTAATAGCAGTCTACTTAATGCATAAAGTCTACCATTTATCAGATATAACAACTACCACGACAAAATTCATGAAATAACTTATATCAATTGACTCTGCCGACAAAACGACAAATAATCTATATAGAAAATACTACCAAAATGTAGCTGTTTAGTTTGGTTACCGCTTAGCAATTTTTTCAAAAATGATGCTTTTAGTAAATTGCGTTTCTCATAAAATACTACAGAATTTTAAAACAAAATAGCCCAACTAAAGTAAATGTTTAACCTCTTTATTTTGTAATATCCATTTGTTATCCATTGTTATGCATGTATTACTGACTTTCTGTAATACATTTTGGCAGTCTATATATAATTTTTTATATCTTTCAAGACTAAAGAATGCATTCCAATCTTGCCAAGAAGATTTCAATGTTATTTAGAAACCATAGAGAGCAACATAAATATTTTACCTATAAGTATACGACAATATTTTCAAGATGAGCATCAAAACTTTAGGAAGTAAAATAGATCGAGCTACAAACACACTCGACGATTTTGTACATGGAACTTGTTTAAATCATATCATGCAGTAGCGGAATCAAGCCTTCACTGGCAAACCAGTTTCAGAGCAAAAACTGAGGCTTCAGCTATCTAATGTTGGCAGCCGTGAGTCGGGCAGTCAGTCAGACAGTCGTTCAGTCCCTCAGTCTATCGGGCATACTTTTATACTTTTAGCATGTGTTTTAGAAAATATGGCAAGCTACAAACAAGTCTTGTTGTTTAAAAGTAAAATCAGCCAAGTGTAACAATTAAGCGACAGCAACCACACAGCAAAACAACACACCAACAAGAGATATGAATACTAACCTGTATGATCACGTCTATATGGACCGAACGTCGACTCGACGTGGTTTTAAAATAAAGTAAAGAAGCGTCGCGTCGTGTGCAGCGTAAAAAGTCATAAGGCCCCATTTGAATTAAAAATTAGAAACAAAATCTAATGGTCCAAAGAGCTACGCAACCAGTGTTATGCTATTAGAGAAATAGGTTAAATGTCGAACTTAATAATTCCCATTTATATTAGCCAAATACTAGCTCTGTGTTCTAATATTTATCTGCGGTAAATACTTTATAATTCCAGGTACATTCACAACACAAACAACAATTATCACCATTTAAAATAAATCCAAATCAACAGAGTCGATTTCGTGGTGAAGTGTTTTTTCTGAACCTCGAAGACGGCTATTTTGGCTGCCAAGTTAATGAGTCCACAGACTATCTACAACTATACGAACTATCGAAATTATGCGACGGCACCCAAGATTGTTTCCTTGGGTCCGATGAGTTGAGCAAAGAGCTCAAATGCACAAGTAAGTTGGGGGAATCCCACGAATGCAAAATGTCCAAGTATCTTTACAAATATTGTCCATTTCCCCTTACAGATGACTGTGATAAGGATGGCACACAGTGCACACATGGTGTTTGTTTGAATGGCGTATGCCATTGCAATGACGGTTATGGCGGCTGCAATTGCATCGAGGAGGGTAAGTAGAGAAGAGGCAAGGGCCTTTCTGCAGCATAACTGTAAACGCGTCTAATGCCAACTTCTCCACTCTTGACTCTCCCGTAGATGAGAATGAATGCAAAAACCGTCCATGCGATGTTTTTGCCCATTGCACAAACACACTAGGCAGCTTTACGTGTACCTGCTTTCCGGGCTATCGCGGTGATGGTCTGCATTGTGAAGGTAAGTGCTATATAGTATACTCGTTGTTCGGAGCATAATGACAGATGACGGTAAACAGTAAACATAATTGTTGTGGCCGTTTCGTACTTCCGTCAACGTCTTTTATGTTATTTGACGGAGACTGTAAGCGGCACGCCACGCCATTCTGGCCTTCCCTTCTCTGTCTGGCCTAATCGGCCAACAGCAGTAGCATTGCTATTTACTAGCCTCGCTTTTGTCTACGCTTCATAAATCGCGTTGGCAGCATTTTGTACTAACGGTACATTTCGCTGGCAACCGTCTGAAGTACTATCTTGAAGTTTCAAATGTAACAAAAGACGCGCCGGCTATCAAGTAAGCAATACAAAAAGCTTTTCTTAACTTTTTACTTTTTCTAAAGTGGAGTGCCAGACATGCCCTGTAGTTTTGGAGCGGGGCTCTGGGGGCCTTCTTTGCAATTTCGAGTAGTGTATTTATCTGTGAGGTAATAATAATGTCCGTTTAGCGATTACACTTAAGTGCCGTCGTCTTAAAAGTTAGTTATTGTTAGAGTTGGCGTCAGAGCAGAACAATTTTAAAGCACTCAGAAAAAAACCTTCTGCAAACATGATATTCATTTCGGGCTTTTTAAATCAAATCAAGTTAACAATTGCTTTAAATATAGTTATTAAAACAATAATTGTCTAAGCAGGAAGACTCGCAGAATACCTCTTGTCATAAGTAATTTTAGTGCTGAATTCCCCAAAAGCTACAGAGCAATTACGACATTAGAATCAGCTGATGTAATTATTAGACCTTTCTTAATGTTACGCAATAGAGCACAAAATAAGCAACCAAATGAACTCAAACTGTAAAGTAATAATAATGGCAGACCAACTGGTTAGGGAAAGATTGGGCCAACTAGCAATGCCAGAGCCAACTGAAAATGTTAGTACGGACGTTGAGTTGAATTGAGATGATGATGGCGATGGCTGTTGAAAATACCACAACATTTGTAGCAATGCTTTCGCGTCAAGTTACATACAAATTCACACACAGACAGAAAAGCGCAGAGAAGCGCTTCGGCTAGAGGAGGAATCAGTGTCATGAAATCTGACCCCAAACATGGACACGCCAAGAACTTTCAACACTCCAAAGAGTGTGCCTGCGATGCAATGCGATAACGAGCGCAAATTTCGCAAACACTGACATTACCCCACTAAGTATGAAGACGTTGCGCAGATTCTAGATTACATGTGACGACTTTTTGCGGGCGCAATCCCCAAGCCCCAGACCGAGACCCAGGTAACTGACAGAACGACAGGGAGAGGCGGAAGCGAAGGTGGAGGCGGCCGGGGAATGAGCAACCGTGCAAGCGATGGGCAAGCAGCATGCATGCATAAATTCTAAAGCAGCGACGTGTAACGCTAGCATTGTATTTCATTCATATTATCTAATTTTTTTCTATATTCTACATTATGCATTTCATTTCACGGCCTGGCATAATGGGGACTCGAAGAACTCGAACAACACACGTCAAGCATAGAATCTTAAATTATTCGTAATCATTGGAATTAACTTATGAAATGCGCTGGGAAAGTTTTCGTAACATTGTTACACTCTATTAGTGGCACATTTTGCGAATCACGTATTGCGTTTCCCAGGATAGGGTACTACTTAATTATATGCCCAGCGATGTCAGTCAGAAGCTACCCACTAAACGAAGAAGACAAGAACCTAGTAGATCACTTAAACATAAACAGATTAAATACACTGAAGCATTGGCGGAAATAAAGTTAATACTTGAACTGCTTTTGGCCTGCATTTCTTTTTCTTATGTGCCAAGATAAATAACCAACTGCACGTACGATCAAAATTTAACACATGCCTGTAGTACTTAAATGTAATTCTTTATACATAGATTTATAATTAATGATATTCAACCAAAAAAAAATGTGATCCGGAATCAAGAGATTTCTATTTAACGATGTTGCCTCGCACCAAGTTCACCCAATAAACTTTTCAAGAAATAATGGCTTGGCCAACACCTTGGCTTAGAGACACATTTTGCGTAGCTGCCGTTGTTGGCCAGCCTGCAGATGTATTTACCTGTCTGCCAACTAAAGGTACTCTGGCAACACCTGTTTTAGACTCCATGGCGCATTATTTCATGTTTATAACTCAAATGCGTTCGCCGGTCTGCCGCTTCTATGTGTGTGTGTATGTGTGTGTGTGTGCACCAAAATGGTTTTCGCTGTGCGCCAAGCACCTCCAAGGCTTTGCTAAACGCAGCGCAACAGTCCAGTTATGCAATGACTATTGAAAAATAATACAAGCACGATCCATACTTAGTGGCTTGCCTATCAATTCTAATACATTTGTCTTACATCGCCAAACAACTAAAAAAAAAAATAAAAATAGAGTGAGCGAGCGAGAGCGTACCTGAAAACACTGTACTCGACTTCACTTGGCTTGAGTGCTAAAGTTATTTCCTTGCCGCCGTACGCAAAAGCACAACTACAACAACCCATCCGATCTCGGGCTACGCTCACTCATTCGCCTTCTCTTGCTGTTGCTGCTCCCTTGCGTTTCGTTAACTGGGGCAGATCATTAAAACGGATAAAATAGATTGTGCCCACGTAGCGACGGCGATGGTGACTACGCCACACACACACATATATATATATATATATACTCGTATGTATAGGTAAATATATACATGTATATAAATGTCTGTGGCGGCGGTAGCTGTCCTCAAAAAACGCAAACGGCACTGCGTCCCGACCATGGTGGAGATCAACATACGCTGATAAGCAGCACTGCAGAACATACTCGTACGCCTCGATTTATTTCAGCTACTTTGCACTTTTTGCATATCAAAATGGCAGCAATTAATTCACGTGTCGAAGTTGAAGTGGCGGGCGTTGATAAGGCAGGGAAATAGCTTTTGCCGCTGGCTTTGACACGCCTAATTATGCTCGCGTTGCCACATTCACGCACACAATTCTTAATAAGCTTAAATAGCTTCAAAGCTGCCGCACATAGCACAGATTTTTATTATCAGTATCTTTTCCATTGTCTACAATAAGTATTTCGTCTCGCAATAAATAAACATACTTGTAAAGTAAGAAAACAAACACAAATACCCGGACCATATTTATTCCCAGATTCTAGAACCTTTCTTTATCAACTATCCCTGAAATAAAATGTAAATAAAAAGCTAAATTAATTAAAGTGTTCAATTAAAAAGTAATCAGAGTAGATCCATTCAAACCTATAAATAAGAAATATACTTAGCTTCTGAAACAGTTGATTGGATTTAAGTATTTGGGATTTAAAGAAAAAGTACTCTGATTGCTTAGAAAGTTTACTTTTAACTTATAAACTAATTAATCTTTTTGTGGTCGTTTTCTTAATTTACAATTTTTCAAGGCAAATCATGTTGGTCAGTATGTTGTATTTACTTTATATCAGCTACACCATTATTCTTCATAATGCAATCACAATTGCCAGATTGCCTTTTAGGTCTTATTTTTACTGAACTAATAAGACGGAGTTCTAATTTGCTTGCTCCATAGAAATAAAATCATATATTTGGCTAATAGTACAACTCGCCAAAACCTTTTTTGGAATACAAAAATAAACAGAAAAACTTGTTTACAACAAATTATCAACTACTTTTGCTTTTCTACTTCATTTTTCACAAGTTCAAGTTCATAAAAAAAAGCGCGCCCAGTTGGTTATCTTTTTCATTTTGTGTTTTTCGTTTTTTGGATTTTCCTTTATAAATTATTTTTAATGGCAGTCGAGCATGAAAGTCATGTCCGCTCGTAAATTGTATCTCTACATATGTGCCGATCTGTAAAATAGTGCAAAATCGTAGCACGAATGTCATATATAACACTACAAAACACATTATACTATTGTTGTATTAGCTGTCGTATGAACTAGTGGAAGCTTTGTGGCGACTACAAACAAATGCTAATTAACACGACAATTACACAATTTATGAGATAGTCGCCAGTCGGACCAGACCATGGCGATTCAATTGTAGCTAAACATAAATTCTGTTTAACTTGTTGCAATAGTCTGAGTGCTAATTATATGTAATTGGTGCAATGTTTTTGCAGCAATAGCAAGGTAACGAAATTAATGGCGGAAAAAAAGTACAGATGCATCAAACATTGAAAATGAAGGAAATCCCAGTCTTTCTATGTTCATAGCACGCCCCTTTAAGGTTGCCTGCTAACTAGACACAACTAGACAGCAAATGCCGGAAGTCTTGGTACCCTCTGCCAACGAGCAGCAGAAAATTATGTCAGCGCCTATTTCAATGTCCAACTTAATCACGTCGAGTCACGCATATAGTATTTGATGCTTTAAAAGTGCCAACGGTCTGCTATTCGACATGATCCAACTTTGGGAAACCAGTTTCGCCAACGCTCATGCCGCACTAGTAACTGATAACAAAATAGTTTTCTTCCTTTCAACCTACACAACCCTAATTGGGGCGTTGGCGCATTTGAATATTTAACATCGGCTTCTCATACACAGTTAGAACAACAATATTTAATATGCACTGGTCCTCAAGTAACAGCCCATAAAAAAAAATATGAAAACTGGTAGCCTTCATGACGCATGATGGACAGAGAAGTCAGCGCAATGGCCGTGCTAAGTTCATTAGAGAGCATTTGGTCAATGGCCTGAGCCACAAGTCTTGTAGCTGTTGGATGCCGACTGCCTTGCAACTGCATTGCATGAAGTAATTAAACTGACATTGAAACTTAGGAGAACATAGAATGCTTCCTGCTTCTTGCAAAACTCCTTGCCACAGTCATTGCTGCCACTGCCAGGCAGCACGAACTACCAACTGGCAGCTCACAGCAGTCGTCGCCGACGAAGACGATGACATTGAGTAATCAGACTTTGCAATTGCAACAAACGGAGGTATCGGCAGTGGCAGTGGCAGCGGCAGGGCTGAATACATGGAATGCTGTCATATCAGTTGGTTGTTAAAAGAAAATACCAGTTTGTGCCACATGCGCGCGGATTTACTTACAAACACACGTGCGTGTCTATATGTACATACATACATACATACGTGTACAACTAGAGTGATGATCCTCTTAATTTAAAAGCTAAGAGCTAGTAATTATAACCGAGAAAACTTCCAACCTGCTCATAATTATAAGGCATAACAAATACGTACACACATACGAGTACATGTCCTTGCCTTTGCTTTTACCAACTTTTGTATTTATGTCACATTAGGTATAAATGTGCAACTGATTAATGGGTCTAGATTAGGGCTGGCTAACAAAACAAGTTCCCTGAATGTCTACGGACTTCTGTAAAAATGTTAGCCAGGCTTCATTGACTGCCAAGACTCTTGTACTTAAGTATACTCTTACAATTGAATTTTGAGTGCACTCCAAGCCTTCCATATACGAATGTATTCAATTATATTAGTTGCAACGATATATAGGCAACTGATTAGTTTCAGTGAGTCGCAAAGACATATCACGTATTGAAGTAGCAAAACTGTCCTTGATTTGACATTAGACGCTATTACAATGAAATTATATGAAAATATGAAAATAAACGAAAAACTTTAAATAATGAATGATGATAACTTTAAATAATGATGGTGGGATTCGAAAGTGCATTCTAGTTATAAAATACTATATTTATGCTAGCACAGAAATCACTGCAATACAGAAAAAATCCTCTCTTGATTAAATTTATATTGATAACAACACATAAACAAATATCTCAATTACGGTGGGAGACAGATGTTTACTTGTAAATCATCATTATGCAAAATACGTATTCGAAATGCTGTTAACTTTAAAATTATGAGTACATTGTAGTAGGATGAGAACGCATGCAGCTCTGGCAACCCTATCAGCTGTTTCCCTGATCCGCTCTCGAATCTCTTCCTTTCATAAGAATAAAGAAGTAGCTTTTTTGTTGTGCCTTTATGTTTTATCTACCGTTACATTTTCCTTCCACAATACTGTTTTGCTTATTTGATAATTTGAAAATAAAAAGAAACAATTAAATGCACACATACTTGTATATAATGCTGGAAAAGATGCAAGAGTGCAAACCATTGAAAAATTGTGAAACTTCTTGAATATGAGTCACTTGTTTCGCTGGCATTCGCAGTGCTCGCATTTTAGAATTAATCATAACGAATATGTATTTATAGTTTGTGAATTATGTTTTTTATCCATATTGCAGACATTGACGAATGTCAGGACCCAGCGATAGCTGCGCGCTGCGTCGAGAACGCTGAGTGTTGTAATCTGCCTGCGCATTTCTTGTGTAAATGCAAGGACGGCTACGAGGGCGATGGCGAAGTGCTTTGCGCAGACGTTGATGAGTGCCGCAATCCACAGGCTTGCGGCGTGAATGCGCAATGCATTAATACGGTCGGAAATTACACATGCGCCTGCCCGGAGGGCTTTGTAGGTAATGCCTACGATGGCTGCCAGGACATTGACGAGTGCGCATATTCTAATGTCTGCGGACCCGGTGCCATATGTACGAATCTCGAGGGCAGTTATCGCTGCGACTGCCCGCCGGGATACGAAGGTGATGGACGCACCGAACAGGGTTGCGTGGACCATGATGAATGCGGACGCACGCCTTGCGGCCGAAACGCCAATTGCCTTAACACCGATGGTAGCTTCAAGTGTTTGTGCCCAGATGGCTATAGCGGTGATCCCATGCACGGTTGCGAAGGTATGTACAATATTATAAGAAATAAGATAATTCGTTTCAGTATTGACATTTGACATCTACCATATTTTGCTTGTTCTTTGCACGTATTTTTGAAATGAAAAACAAACCACACAAAAACACGCACTCACACATATTTGCAACAACATTCATCCGCACCGCAAATCTGCCATTAATTCGATTAATGCATACTCAACCGCCTAATTGCTGCCATTGACATCGACAACAACCACAAACTCAACTCACGGCTGGTCTGCAGATGTCGATGAATGCGCTACTAACAATCCATGCGGTTTGGGTGCTGAATGCGTGAACATGGGCGGTAGCTTTCAATGTCGTTGTCCAATTGGTTTTGTTCTTGAGCATGATCCACAAGCGCCGCTGCCTCAACCAACACTATCACTCGGGTATGACGACGGTGGTCACACATTTGAAACGCCAACGTTGACATCGGGCGCCGGGCTAGCCTGTCTGGACATTGATGAATGCAATATGCCCGACGGAGCTGCTAGCTGCGGCATTAATGCCAAGTGCATTAATTTTCCGGGGTCGTATCGCTGTCTGTGTCCCAATGGCTTTCAGGGACAGGGCTATTTGCACTGCGAGAGTTAGTATTATTGTTAACTATACTTTTAAGGCTTATGTCAAAGCATGCAAGTGTTGCGCTCAATTTCTCGATAAAAAATCGTATTCAAAATTTTTATGCAGCTTGCAAGCTTTACAAGCTTTTCGCTTCCTTTCTGCTTTTCCCCTCTTTTAGTGGAACATATCTATTTTGCTGGCCAAATAAGTAAATGCTTTCATTTTTTGCAATTTTTTTTGAATAATATTAAATGCAATGTGGAGAGTACCATAATATGTCTAAAAGTATATACCTCTTGACATACGCATATAGTATACAGTAGTAGACTACATATTGTATTCACAAATTTATTTCTTAATCTTATTTCTCTTTTTCCGATTCGTATAATATTTATGATCCCATACACTTCCGGCTAGTACTCAAGTTACCTAAAAAGCAATTTTGTTTAGACTTTTTGTTGGCCAGCAAATCGTGCCTTTGCTCTGGTATACGGCACATTTCCACAACTATTTAAAGTACTTTACAAGCTTGCAAACCTTAAAACTTGGCTTAAGCGCTTGAACCAATTTAAGCTTTTTGCCAATAGCTTTGTCGTACCGTTCCCATACATACAAACCCTCCCTCTATGTTCCTTACCAATCCGCTGCCCCACCCAAATTTCACGCTTTTCTATGTCACTTTCCACACCTATATACTGTTTGTTACGTAATTACTAATTAAATTGATTTAACTATATTTAATCCAAACAAAATTTGCATCCAACAACAACAACTACACCCTTAAACATGCACCCGTTTGCTTCCACAATTTACGCCCTGCCTACTACGTAAATTCCTCTGCACCGCGACGCAATCGAAACGGCAAAAACAGATATCAACGAGTGCCAGGATAATCCTTGCGGGGAGAATGCCGTTTGTACGGACACAATTGGTAGTTTCGTTTGCACATGCAAACCTGACTACACCGGTGATCCATTCCGCGGTTGTGTAGACATCGACGAGTGTGCTGCCTTGGAGAAACCTTGCGGCCAATATGCCATATGCGAAAATGCTGCACCCGGATACAATTGCAAATGCCCACAGGGCTATGACGGCAAACCAGATCCCAAGGTAGCCTGCGAACAGGTGGATGTCAACATTCTGTGTCGCACCAACTTCGATTGTACCAATAACGCCGAATGCATAGAAAGTCAATGCTTCTGCCTGGATGGATTCGAGCCCATTGGATCAAGCTGTGTCGACATCGATGAGTGTCGCACTCATGCCGATGCCTGCGGCCCTCATGCTCAGTGCATAAATACGCCGGGCTCCTATCGCTGCGACTGCGAGGCCGGCTACGTGGGCACTCCTCCGCGCATTGCCTGCAAAGAACCTTGCGAGGATGTACGCTGTGGTGATCATGCGTACTGTAAGCCGGATAACAACGAGGCATATTGTGTTTGCGATGATGGCTGGACGTACAATCCCAGCGATGTGGCCGCCGGATGCATGGACATTGATGAATGTGATACAGTGCACGGATCTTTTGGCAGCTGTGGCGTAAATGCTACCTGCACCAATACGCCGGGCAGCTTTAAATGCGCGTGCCCCCCGGGCTTTTCTGGCGACCCATTTAGCAAGTGTATCGATGTAGACGAGTGCCATGTGAGCAATAAGTGTGGCATCGGTGCCGAATGTGTCAACATGAATGGAGGCTATACATGTCGGTGTCCTGAAAACACAATACCCGATCCAGATCCCAGCTTGCGTTGTGTGCCCATTGTCAGTTGCAACACTAGCGAACAGTGCCCTGGAAATGCTATATGTGACAATACTAAGCGCTGTCTATGCCCGGAACCAAATATAGGAAACGATTGTCGACATCCCTGCGAAGCCAAAGATTGTGGAGCGCATGCACAATGCATGCTGGCCAATGGAGAGGCACAGTGCTTGTGTGCTCAGGGCTATACAGGTAACCCGATGCTTCCAGGTGGCTGCAATGACATCGATGAGTGCAAGGCCAACCCTTGTGCAACTAATGCCATATGCACCAATACTGCAGGAGGATATTTGTGTCAATGTCCAAGTGGTGCAACTGGCGATGCCTATCGTGACGGCTGTGCCACATCAAAGACTATCGGCTGCTCTGACGCCAATCCTTGCGCTTTAGGAGAGATTTGTGTTCAGGATTCATTCAATGGCAACAGTGTTTGTATCTGCCGTCAAGGATATGAGCGAAATGAGCAAAATGGGCTGTGTCAGGATATTGATGAGTGTTCGGCACAGCGTACCAAACCTGCCTGTGGACTTAATGCACTATGCAAGAATTTGCCTGGCAGTTATGAGTGCCGCTGCGCTCAGGGCTATAACGGAAATCCCTTCGTGATGTGCGAGATTTGTAACACACCCGAGTGTCAATGTCAGTCACCCTACAAGCTAGTAGGCAATACCTGCGTACTGGCGGGTTGCTCCAACGGTGAGAAATGCCCCATTGGTGCCGAATGCATATCCATTGCAGGTGGCGTTAGCTACTGTGCTTGTCCCAAGGGCTACAAGACGCAGCCCGATGGAAGTTGCGTAGACGTGGACGAATGCGTAGAGCGAGGTGCACAAATTTGCGCTTATGGCGCCCAATGCATTAACAACCTGGGTGGTTTTGAGTGCGTCTGCCCTGAAGGTTACAATGGTGATGCGTATCATGGACTATGTGCTCCGGCTCAACGAAAATGCGCCGCAGATAAGGAATGCGCCACAAATGAGAAATGTATACAGCCTGGAGAATGTGTATGTCCGCCACCATTTTTCTTGGATCCGTACGACAACAACAAATGCAAAAGTCCCTGCGAACGTTTCCCATGCGGAATTAATGCCAAATGTACACCTTCTGATCCACCACAGTGCATGTGTGAGGCAGGATTTAAAGGCGATCCTTTAATGGGCTGCACAGATGAGGATGAGTGTGCCCACTTGCCCTGTGCTTATGGTGCATATTGTGTTAATAAGAAGGGCGGTTATCAGTGTGTTTGCCCGAAAGGTTTTACGGGTGATGCCTACAAAAGCGGTTGCATTTTGGAATCTGGAGAACCGAAAAGCAAGTGTATTACCAATGAAGATTGTGCCAGCAATTTGGCTTGCATAGAAGGCACATGTCTCAGTCCTTGTTCCAGTCTCCTGTGCGGCTCAAATGCTTATTGCGAAACTGAACAGCATGCAGGCTGGTGTCGCTGTCGTATTGGCTTTGTAAAAGATCCACAAGGAGAATGCGTTTCGCAGTGCAAGGACATTATTTGCGGTGAAGGAGCTCTCTGCATCCCCACAAGCGATGGACCTACTTGCAAGTGCCCGCAGGGCTACTTGGGCAACCCTTTCCCGGGCGGCAATTGCACCACAGATCAATGCAGTGCTTCAAGGTCATGCAATGAACGGCAGATCTGTATCAATGGACGTTGCAAGGAACGTTGTGATGGCATCGTTTGCGGCATTGGCGCTACTTGCGATAAGGGCAGTGGCAAATGCGTTTGCGAACCAAACTTTGTGGGTAATCCCGATCTGTTGTGCATGCCACCCATCGAGTATGCAAAATGCTCTCCCGCTTGTGGCGAAAACGCACATTGTGAGTATGGTTTTGGACAGAGCCATTGCGCATGCAACCTAGGTACCTCAGGTAATCCGTACGAAGGCTGCGGAGCGCAGAGCAAAAATGTGTGCGCACCCAACAGCTGCGGATCCAACGCTGAATGCCGATCGGAAGGAAATCGCATTACTTGCATTTGTCCGCAAGGTTTCAGCGGCAACCCGTATGTGGGCTGTCACGATGTGGATGAGTGCGCCAGTAAGCCATGTGGACTTAACGCAGCATGTCTTAACACGGATGGAGGATTTGAATGTCTATGTTTATCCGGCTACGCAGGCAACCCTTATAGCAGTTGCCAGCCCATCGATAGAAGCTTCTGTGAAGATCCCAACAAATGCCAATGTAATGAGCGTGTTGAATGCCCAGATGGGTACAGCTGTGATGAGGGAAAATGCAGAAATCTTTGCTCCAAGACTGCCTGTGGACCAAGAGCAATTTGCGATGCTGGAAAATGTCTATGCCCCCTCGGCTACCAAGGTGATCCACATGATCTTAACCAGGGCTGTACCATTCGTGGACAATGCGAAAATGATGCCAGCTGCAAGCACTCGGAAATTTGCTTTCAGCTCGGAAAAGGCCTTCGAAAATGCGTCGATGCATGCTCCAAAATACAGTGCGGTCCCAATGCACTTTGTGTTGCCAACGATCACAGATCGTCATGCATTTGCGCTGATGGATACTTTGGCAATCCGAGTAATCTTCAAGTGGGCTGCCAACCGGAGCGAAAAGTTCCAGAAATACATGACACATGTAAATCAGATTCGGAATGTGAAAAAGGTTTTGTTTGCCAAGCCATTGGTGCAGAAGGAACACGTCAGTGCATCAATCTATGCTCCAATGTCGTTTGCGGTACAAACGAGCTGTGTAAAATTGATCAGGATGGACATGCCATTTGTAATTGTGCTGAGAGCTTTGTATGGAATCCTGTATCTTCTGCTTGCGAAAAACCATCATTGCCTGACTGTACCAACGATGAAAACTGTCCCAGCAACTTTGCGTGTCGGCCCGACGTTGTCGGCGTACTTAAATGCATCTCCATATGCGACGAATTCACCTGCCCTGCAAACTCAATTTGTGTTGCACGCAATCATCAGGGACGCTGCGATTGCCTTAACGGTTTCGTTGGTAATCCTAACGATCGAAATGGATGCCAACCAGTACAAAAGCATCAATGTAGTTCTAACGCCGAGTGTCCAGAGTCCGAAGCCTGCATCAAAGATGAATCTACAAAATCCCTATCCTGTCGTCCAGCCTGTGAGAGTGTCAAGTGCGGTCCACGAGCTGTTTGCATCACCAACAATCATCAAGCACAATGTCAATGCCCTCCTGGTCCTTTTGCTGGCGATCCTTACGATCCATTCAATGGCTGCCAGAGTGTACCTTGTGTTTACAATCACGACTGTGAGCCTAGCCAAATGTGCAATCGAATGACGCACACTTGCTATGACGTATGTGACGAGGAATCCTGCGGTGAAAATGCTATTTGTTTGGCTGAAGGGCATCGTGCCGTTTGCCAATGTCCACCTGGATATAAAGGCAATCCCATTCCCGAGGTGGAATGCACCAAGGTTGGAGGCTGCGCCGCTGGCACTTGTCATCATACAGCCATTTGCGAGGTCACACCAGCCGGACCCATATGCAAGTGTCCGGAACATTTTGTAGGAGAGCCTACGACAACGGGCTGCCGTCCAGATGGCCAATGTCCCAATGGTGACGCAGATTGTCCAGCTAATACTATTTGCGCAGGTGGACGTTGTCTTAATCCTTGCGACAATGCTTGCGGTGAGAATGCCGATTGCAAGGTAGTTAATCGAAAGCCCGTATGCAGCTGTCCACTGCGCTTCCAACCGATTTCAGAGTCAGCTAAAGAGGGCTGCACTCGCACACCATCCAAATGTCTTACTGATATAGATTGCGGCGGTGAAGTCTGTTTAAATGGACAGTGTCGCGTGGCTTGTCGAAATTCTCAGGATTGTTCCGGTGGCGAAAAGTGCATTGGTAATGTCTGCGTCGTCGCCTGCCTCGATCACAGTCAATGCGCTACCGGACTGGCATGTCTGGACAGTCACTGCTCGATTGGTTGTCGTAGCAACAAAGACTGCAAGGGCGACGAGTCCTGCATCAACAACAAATGCCTTAATCCCTGTCAGGCCGGCAACATTTGCGGCCCAAATGCTCTATGCAAGATTGAGCAGCATCGAAGTCAGTGCAGTTGCCCCGAAGGATTTGAAGGTAACCCAACACCCGATCAAGGTTGCGTCCGTGTGCCTGCACCTTGTTTGGCCACTAATCAATGCCCCAACGGTCACATGTGCATTGCTAATCAATGCAATCTTCCATGCACCAAGACATCGGTGTGTGCAATTGGAGAGCGCTGCTACCAGAATGTATGTCGTAAAGTTTGCTACACCAGCAACAATTGCCTGGCTGGCGAAATTTGCAATGGTGATAGAACATGCCAGCCAGGGTGCGACTCAGACGCCGACTGCCCACCAACGGAGCTTTGCTTAACGGGGAAATGTAAATGTGCCACTGGTTTTATTGGAACACCATTTGGTTGTTCCGACATTGATGAATGCACGGAGAAACCCTGCCATGCAAGTGCACGATGTGAAAATATACCTGGCTCCTATAGATGCATTTGTCCCGAGGGAACTGTCGGTGATGGTTACACAAACCAGGGCTGTACAAAACCGAAGGAATGCTATAAGAGCGACGATTGTGCCAATAACCTAGTCTGCTTCCAAGACAAATGCACAGATCCGTGTCTGAAGACAGTTTGCGGCCCAAATGCCCTTTGCCAATCGGAAGCACACCAATCGGTGTGCAACTGTCCAGCAGGCTTTTTAGGTGATCCTAATGATACAGGCGTCGGTTGCTTCAAGGTAGAATGCATAGATCATGTGGACTGTTCCAGTGATCACGCCTGCGACACAGAAACGAATCGTTGCATCCAGCCCTGTGATCTCGTGAACTGCGGCAAGGGAAATTGCAATGCAATGGATCACAAGGCCGTATGCACCTGCTACGAAGGATACCAGCTTCTCAATGGCGCATGCGAGGATGTAAACGAATGCATGTCTCAGCCCTGCCACAGTACAGCTTTTTGCAACAATTTACCTGGCAGCTTCAACTGTCAGTGTCCCGAGGGATTAATTGGAGATCCCGTACAGTCAGGTTGCCGCGATCCCAATGAATGTCTAACTGACTCTGATTGCCCTTCAACTGCCAGTTGTCAAAACTCACGCTGTCGCAATCCCTGTGAGGAACCTAACGCGTGCGGCCGCAACTCGAACTGTGTGGCTCAGTCCCATACCGCTGTCTGCACATGCCCACCTAACTCCCGTGGTGATCCTTCCGTTGAATGCACGCACATTGAATGCGTGGACAATGATGATTGTTCCAGCGACAAGGCCTGCCTCGATGCCAAATGTATAGATCCCTGCTCGCTACCAAATGCTTGCGGCGCTCAGGCACGTTGCTCAGTTCAAAATCATATCGGATTATGTACTTGCGAATCGGGAACTACTGGAGATGCTAAGCAAGGCTGCGTTCAATTGCAGTACTGTCAAAAGGATGGGCAATGTGCACAAGGAAGCATTTGCACCAATGGAATTTGTAGTCCACTCTGTAGTAGCAATCGAGATTGCATCTCCGATCAGCTGTGCATACAGGGAGTGTGCCAACTTACATGCAAAACCAACAGTACTTGCCCTGAATTCCAGTTCTGTTTAAATAACATTTGCACAAAGGAGTTGCTGTGTAGAACAGACAGCGATTGTGAAATGGATGAAACCTGCATACAAGATGCCTACGGACGTGCGCGTTGTGAAAACGTGTGCCTGGGACGCGCAGCTTGCGGGCGAAATGCAGAGTGCGTTGCACGATCTCATTCTCCGGATTGCTCCTGCAAAGAAGGATTCTTTGGCGACGCACGGTCCGGATGCCGTAAAATAGAATGTAGCACCGATGATGATTGCTCCAATGATAAGACGTGTGATAATAATATGTGCAAGATAGCCTGTCTTATTGGACAGCCGTGTGGAGAAAATGCACTTTGCACCACCGAGCACCATAAACAGGTGTGTCACTGCCAGCCTGGATTTACAGGTGACCCACGTATTCGCTGCGACGTAATCGATTTTTGCAAGGACGCACCGTGTGGTCCTGGAGCTCGTTGTCGCAATTCCCGGGGCTCGTTTAAATGTAATTGTCCACCCGGTCTTGTCGGTGATCCCTACAATGAGGGCTGTCGAACTTCAGTAGAATGTGAAACTCACGATGACTGTCCCCCGCATGCTGAGTGCACAAAAACAAATGGTACACCTAAATGTCATGATGTTTGTGCACAGGTTAAATGTGGCTTAAATGCGGAATGTGTTCCTAAGGGCCACGTTGCGCACTGTGCATGTCGCAATGGCTACGAAGGCAACCCCGCTGATCGGGCTGTCGGCTGCAAGCCATTGCCAGTGCCTTGTCAGGTGACAAGTGACTGCCCGACTAATACCTACTGCTCGGATAGTGTGTGTAAACGTAAGTACTAACAGTCGATCCACAAGCAGGCCTATCGGCACTTCTGAAAAACGTATACTTACTACCAGACTAATACCACTACTACCACCAACAACAATAGAAGAGAAACAGAAACAAAACATGTAACTGGCTAACTGTGTAGGAACTTACAACAAAACACACTCATACAGGAGCCGAAAGCTCAAGACTAACGCTAACTTTGAACTGGTTTTAACAAAGTGGTACCTGTAGAAAATCCTTTCTGAACTAAATTTAATGAAGGAACCGTAAATGCCACATCTAATAATTTGCAACCCAAATCACGCTATGTTAAAAGAGACTGATTTTTTAACATATTAAACAACTGATAAATTACAGAATACGCCTCTTTCGTTAGTGGCGGCATAAAACTATACAATAACATTTTTAGGACCTCCACCAAAAGGGTAATCGGGAATAATAGTTCAGTTTGGTAATATCTATATAACACACAGAAGAAGTCGTAACAGACCCAACAAATTATATATATTCTTGATCAGTATGGTGAGATGAGAGGAAATAGCTTTGTTCGTTTGTCCATCTCCCTGAGCTCACGGATTTCAGAAAGTATAAAAACTAGACACAACAACGTTGCTTCCAGGTTCTTCTATATCCAAAAAATACAAATTGATTTATTTTTTGTCGCTGCGCCAGCTTCTTTCCTGCTTGGAATAAGTATTTTAAGTTCTTCAGGTCGTCATGCAGATGATCAGAGGGCCTGACATCGACTTATCTCATCATACCGACCAAGTATTACTTTGTACTACCAAATTATTATTCCACTCACCCTTTGGGTACAGGATAATTAAATGAATTTGTATAGTTACGTGAAAGAATGAATAGGCGTTCATTATTCGTTATTTCATAAACGGGATATTGAGGGGTCTGCAAATGTTTATTCTTAATCTATCGAGTAATTATTGCACACATACAAAGAGAAGTTACATACAAGTTTATTTAGATAACTGGGTTATCAGTGCTTCACCCATATTAAAAAACCTAGGACAATATCCAAGCAAGACCTATACTGGTACACATGACGAACATCATAAACAGTGCAGCATGATTGAATCAAGCACTATATGTGAATGCTGAATGTGCGCCTGGTGAGCACTGGCATCCTCCATACATTCAAACACACGTTTTCTTTCCATTTTATAAGTATTATTATAATTTATAAAACATATCCAGCATGCTAAGCATGGGCCAAACAGTGTACGTGTGCACGAGCATATTGAATACATAATACACAAAGAATACTTCGATAAAGCTGCACTGTGGATGGGGCCTTAAGAACTTGACCATGACCGTGCTCTAAAAGTTGCCCTGGTGGCATGAAACTACACAGACCGTTGTCTGCCAATAAAATAAGAACAATAAGTTTTCATTTTATTAATCCGATTTATTTCGCTTCACTATATAGCTGCTTGTGTTTTGGATACTGAATGTGGCTCCTCAGAAGTATGCCAAGGTGGTCAATGCTTCGATCCGTGCCAACAACCACAAGCTTGTGGCTTGAATGCGCAGTGTCAAATATTTAGTCATGTCAAACAATGCCACTGTCCCGAGGGCTTCACCGGCGATGCTATCAAAGAATGTGTCCGCGTACCTGTTGCTTGTGACGGAGTGTGCGGGCCAGGCTATACATGTCAGGACTCAATGTGTCTGCCGATATGTCAGAACGATCTGCAGTGCGCCTCTAATGAGAAGTGTTTGCGAGGAACTTGCATGTGTAAGTATTCAACATTACTTAGCATTGAAGAAATATTATTGGTTTCTTTCATTTTAAGTGACTTGCCGCGTGGACAATGACTGTTTCCTGGGTCATGTTTGCCTGCACAACAAATGTGTTTACGGCTGTCATGTAGATGATGACTGTAGTGGCTCTGAATCTTGCCGGAACGATAAATGTATAAATCCGTGCTTGGAAAGTCCTTGCGGACCCAATGCTGCTTGCTCGGTGTCCAATCATCGCGCTAGCTGCAGCTGCCTGGAGAATATGGTACCCAATCCAACAGCCCAGGTTGGTTGCGTACGTGCCCCACCACTGGAATGTTATGAAAATCGTGACTGTGCCAATGGGCTAGCCTGTTTTGAATCAGTCTGCCGTCCACTTTGCGCCGATGATGCTGGCTGCCTTACCAATGAGCGATGTCAGCAGGGAGTCTGCAAGCCGCTTTGTCGGAACGACAATGAATGTGGTTCCAGCGAGATATGCTTAGGTCTCTCCTGCATTCCAGGCTGCCGGTCAAATCAGGGCTGTCCCACCCACATGGACTGTATAAATCAGCAGTGTGTGAATCCTTGTGCTGATGCTACGGCCTGCGGCACTAATGCTATCTGCGAAGTCATCAATCATCGGAAGCAATGCCGTTGTCCTGATGGACTAGACGGCAATGCAGATATATCTTGCAAAACACCACGCACTGCTTGCAGCCAGAACGAGGACTGCCAGACGAATCAGTTGTGCTATGCCGGCAGTTGCCAGGGCAAATGCCGCAATGACCAGAACTGCTTGGCAGATGAGCGTTGCATGCGTGGCACTTGCCGTACAGTCTGCAACACGGACAACGCCTGTGCACAGGGCCAAATTTGCGAGAATCGCGTCTGCCAAATAGGATGCCGCAATGACTTGAGTTGTGCAAACGATGAGGCCTGCGTGAATAAGAAATGCAAGAATCCATGTGATACGCCTGGTCAATGCGGCCAGTGTGCCGATTGTTGGGTTATAAACCACGGCGTTCAGTGTCAATGTCCAGGCAACTTCATTGGCGATGGTCTATCCGGTTGCCAGCTGCCACCTGAACGCTGCCATAACGGTTGCGAATGTGACGAATCTTCCACCTACTGTGCGCCGAAGTGCGCACGCACCGATGACTGCGCCTGTGGCCAGTTGTGCTCTCGTGGAAAATGCCGCAACAAGTGTGGACCCAATCGACAGTGTCCACTAGGTCAATTATGTGAACGTGGTGCTTGCATCGCAGGCTGCAAATCGAACAATGACTGCGCCGCTGATCAGAGCTGCCTGCAAGGCAAGTGTGCTGATCCCTGCTCTGACGAAAAATCGTGCGGACGCAATGCTCTCTGCACAGTGTCAGATCATCGTATGCTGTGCTATTGCCCCGACGGCTACGAGGGTGAGCCAAGCAAGGAATGTGTGCAATTTGAATGCCGCCAAGATGCGGACTGCGAGTCCAACAAACGGTGCGATGCTGGTAAGTGTCGCAATCCATGCCTTGAATTCGGTGCCTGTGGCACCAATGCGCAGTGCCGCGTTGTAAATCGCAAGGCACAATGCTCATGTCCGCCAGACTTCTTCGGAAATCCAGTTACGGAGTGCCATCCCCTGAATGGAGGCTGTGCCACAAATCCCTGCGGCGTGAACTCCAAATGCATTGAATTACCAGGTGGCTATGAATGTGCCTGTATGGACGGCTGCATGGGTGATGCCCATAAGGGCTGCGTATGTGGTGGACAGCAAGTGAACGCATGTCATGAACAGCCTTGTGGCTTGAAGGCAGCCTGCCGAGTATTAGAAAACAACGAAGCACAATGCTACTGTCCCGAAGACTTCCCCAATGGTGATGCCTATGTTGAATGTAAGCCCAATTCAAGTTATTTTAAGAATTCATTATCAGTGCTGATCATTTCTATACTTTTAAAGGTTATTTGACTCCACCGCAAGAGGACTGTCGGGCTTATGGCTGTGAATCGGGCAATTGCGTGCGTCAAGGCTATGAATATGTTTGTCAACAGGGTAAGTTCCCAAAGATCAATTAATTGTTTGGAGTACCTACAGCTTACCTTCAGTATACGGTTCCATATCTGAAAATATATGGCTAATTTAATTAACCATTATTTTTCCAACAGTTTAACATATATACAAAATATTATTTTGAGTACTGCGTTTTTTCTAGTAATCAGTTATCGTTAATATTATCAATAATTTTATAACTGGTCTGTTAGTAAACCAAATTAATTTTGTTGTCATAATTTTTGGTTCGATGAAATAGTTTCAGTTGTTTTTTACTATTAAACCAGCTAATTTAACTAATTTGTTGCCAAATAATCACCAGCTGTTGAAGCTGTCCCGTAAACAAATTTGTATAACTTCGTTTTCAGTGTAGTGTGTGTTCATAATGCCAAGACTATTAATATAAATAAGTATTAACAGCAACATATACACATGTTTGAAGTGAAGAACAATGCCAAGTGGTATCATTATCCCACACACACGTACACAATTCTAAACGCATTTCAGTTCCTTAGAGAAACCAAAAATGTTATTATTAGCACAATTTTTTTGCAATTAATTTGTTTTACTTTTAGATTGTAAGTTACAATTTTTGTTTTGTTGTTTACAATACCCACATACGCATATGGGAATTCGAGGAAAGTTGTTGTCGCTATCGCGGTTTCCCAATCTGGGCTTCATTTTTATTTTATTAATAATTTAATAAATGCATTTTAAATTTAGGCCAACATAAGCTTAGACCTTAAGGAAAATTCTAACTGCGATACTAAAATTAAATTTAGCATTTAAAAAAACTTTTAGCTTCAAAGAAAATATTTGTAGTCTCACAAAGCTTTAAAGCTTTTGCGCATTCATATCATTACAATGCATTTAGGATTCATTCATGAAATATATTTAAAACACATAAAGCTCTATAGTTTCACGCAATTGGCTTTAATTAACAAGTCGTACATCGTCAAAACTTTTAGTTTTCCGGCATCAATACGTTTATCAAAACCACAAACGCACAGATCAGTATACAAATTAAATCATAAATAAATTCAGGGTCTACTTTATTTTACTTTAATTTTAAATGCCGCGATAGCGAAATATTGCCAATAATTATGATTTTAAATAACTTATTGGTATTTTTACAATATCAACAACAAAAAGTGCACATTGTCTGTACCTGTAATAAACAACACTTAGTACAACGCTAAAAAAAAAACTCAATAACCCAAAACACACCCATCTTGCCAAACATCATCAAACCCCATGCTCAAATCCCATCCTTTGACTCCACTTAGCCCACCATTTGAACCACCGTTGATATCCACTATGCTGCTCCCCTACCGCTCTGTCGTTCCTTTTGCTCTCTCGTTAAATGAAAAATATTAAAATTTATCTATTGTTAAAATTATCCTTGAATTTACTTAATAAATAAAATCTCAGATTGGGAGCTGTGGACGGGACAATTCTCACACGTGGTTCACATATGCTTAAAAAACAAAAACAATGAAATGAAGAGAGAACACCCTATATAAGAATCATTAAAACTATGTATAGACAATTTTAAAAACTCAAACATCAACAACAACAACTACTACTTTCCAATACATCCTTTAAGCAAATTTTACCATATAACAAATATCAAAGCCACTTAGTCAATAAATTGTAAAAAGTTCCTTCATAAAGATTAAGCTCTGGCAGTTCCTACCCCACTTAAGCTCGTCTATTGGTTGAAAATCATTTCTGTACAAAAGAAAACTTTATTTTAAAAACAAAAAGTTTAAAACGTAACTAAATTTGACTAACACTGCAAATATTTTTTGGTAATTTTGAATAGTCTTTAAGTTGTACATACAAAATTCGTATATGTGAATATTTACATATGTATATGCGTATACAAAAACCATAGCGCCATAGCGACTGTCCTACCACTAACACAAAACAACTGTAAATACAAACGAAATTTAAAATTTGTGAATTATAAATAACCCCGAAAAGTAAAGACACTTATATTCTATAACAAAAATTATCTACGTCTAACGTACTTTTCAAAATTGTACTTACAAGTATAAAAGGATTTTCACCTATTATATTTTCATATTTTAAGCCTTTGCTATTACTTTCGCTTTAGTCAAAACTTGTACCCACCACAACAACATTTCAATTTTCAAATCTCTAGCTTCTACATTCTATCCTTCTTAGTCTTTCTCACCCACTCACCCATTCACTCGCCAATAACGTGTCTCTTGTGAGGGCAGAGCGCATGTGTTGGATGTCGTGTAATTTTTACCATTACTTAAACAAAATAAACAGCTCAAATTTGCATTAAAACTACGAAGTCATTGGCAGATGAGTCCATAAACAAAATGCCATTTATAGGGCAAATAATAAGCAATTCTCTCTTTCTCTATATGCATATTTGTATTTAAATAATCAAAGTAATTGGTAATTCATCGAAGATTGTAATTATTTCTCACTCGCTCTTTCCGCTACTTCTGCTCGCCCACCCGTTTGTTTCATCTTATGAACTCGCGTTCAATGACAATTTATCAAATTCATACCAAAACAAAAATAATTCAAATTTAGGTGTTATTAAAAACATTTTCATACTTATAAATAATACCTGAAGCAATGTGAGATGTTCCCTTCACAGTTCTACAATGTTAATTTTTGTTAACATTATCAAAAGAATAAATTCAAATTTTGCCACATTTCTATATAAAACACTAACTATCCTAGTTGACCTAATCTTACAAACATGTCCCAATCAATTTGATTATATTATTTTCGTAAGTTTTGTTTAGTTTTTATTTTTATCTTTCTTTTGCACCCTTTTATTCACAACCCGTTTAAATCCCCCCGTTCAAATTTTCTACTACTTTAACAAACCTACATATGCACAAAATCCTACCACGAAACAATAAGTCCAAAGCCACAAAAATCCCACTGACAACTGATTGAAAACCCAATAAACACAAACACTCAGATCTAAAGATAAACAAACAACAACAAAAACAACCAACCCGCCCTGAATTTGCAGTTTCTCGATTAAGTTTTTATTTTTATTTGAAAATGTATAGTTATAAGTTTTACCTGCGCTTCCCACATTGAGTCCCATCTTTGTGTTGACACTGTCTGTTGCCGGTGCTACCTAAAAACCTTACTTTCTGACAAACTTCTTATATCTGTCAAGCTCCAACCTTGGACGATTTCAATCGCACTCCCATTCTTATGTATTTCAACGAATCAAATACATATTTATCTTAAAGTACCATACCGTATATGCCACTGACTAGTTCAATGCACCCAAAGATTAACATATAAACAACCAAAACCTGTCTATCTCTCTCTCTCGTTCTTCGCTGCTGTATGTTACCAATGAACCAACCCGTTACGTTATAGACACCGAACAATGCTACTCAGATACGGATTGTCCCAGTGAAAAATCATGCCTTCAAGGACACTGCAGCGATCCTTGCACAATGCGTGGCGCGTGCGGCGTTAATGCACTGTGCAAAACTGTGCTGCATCGGCCGCGTTGCTCCTGCCCTAGCTGTCACATTGGCCGACCAGAAGTTGAATGCAAGCCGGATCCAAAATGCATTCCAGAAGATAGTGATGCCAAAACAAATCAACAAATAACATGCTCTAGTGATGTCGAATGCCCAGAGACATTGCAGTGTGGCCAATATGGCCAATGCACAGACCCATGCAACAATCCCTTGTTTATTTGTGAGAGTAACAAGAAATGTGAGACAAGACGCCATCAGCCAGTTTGCATTTGCAAATCTGGTTTTATTGTTAATGAATACGGCGAGCTGACCTGTGCGCCAGATAAACGTGAATGCTATAGGGATGACGACTGTGCCTCGAACATGGCCTGCACGGATGGCAAATGCCGTAACCCGTGCATAGTGCCTTTAGGACGGGCACCAATTTGTGCCGAAAACAAATCGTGCGAGGTTCAAGATCATAAGCCTGTCTGTATATGTATGCGCGACTGTCAGCCTTCAATTTCAATATGTTTGCGTGATGCCGGTTGTCCAGCTGGGCTAGCATGCCGCAATTACCAATGTGTTGATCCGTGCAAGTTTGCTACATGTGCAGCCAACTCGCCATGCATTGTAGAGGATCACAAGCCGATATGTAAATTCTGCCCACCTGGATTTATAGCCGATGCCAAATATGGATGTCAAAAAGGTAAACAACAAACGTACTCTCTCTCACAGCTCTCAAGTGAAAGTACTACCTATATGTTTCTGTCTCGTGTATCTCTGTTTCCCTCTCTCACACACTCTTGCTAGTGCTAGCTCTTTATGTCTTTCCCTTGCACTTAAATTTACCTGACGAAATATATTGACGAAAGCATATCCAAATGAATTCGCAAAGTCAATCTGTTTCATAGAATCTAAAGTAAATGTATATAGAACAGAGAATTTAACTATAAAGCTTTCGCTTTCCTTATGGTATATAGCAATTTTTCTGAATTATATTTCTTGAAAGATTAGCATCAAATCCAATTTAAAAAAAAAAAACAAAATATTCGCCCATCGAATGTAACCCCACTGCCAGACAACGCTTCACAATACTAGCACAACGCTAAAACCAAAGCGCAGGCAAAAATTGAACCCCAAAAGACGACGATCGCAGATCGTTCGTCGCCATGGGAATACAACAGTAACATACAGCCACAATTACAAGCAAACTCTTCTAAACATTCACACACGCTCATGCTCACAGTGATATTAATAATTTTTAATTATGTGTCTCCTAAAAACTATGATTTTTCTAACTGATGATTCTAAACAAGCGGTACATAGATCTAATACTAATTGTAAAACCAATATAAACCAAATACGTAGCTAACTAATTGTTTAGAAGTTCCTAATTTGATTTACTTAACCTTCTAACAGATAGTACAACATTTCTGAATATCTAAAGTATTTATCTGACATTTAAAGCCTTTATTAAGTTATTCAATTGTTTTTAAAGTGAATATAGAGGTTCCCCTGTATATATAGTTCACTTACCTTTTGATTGTAGCTATACACCTTTTAATTTTGTATTGTAAATATTTTAACATTTTACTTTTTTATTTAAAATATGTACAAAACACTCCACTCCAAAAAATTAAACTTAACACAATAAATCGAGCAGCAAAGCCAGGTGGCAACTGTACTACAGACGAAGATTGCAACGAAGCACACCAATGCGGCTCGTGGGGACAATGTTTCGATCCTTGCCAAACAGTTTGCGCCGGCGCAATAAAATGTCAAACAGTAGCGCATGTCGTTAAAACATGCATATGTTCTCAGGACTCTAAAAGTTGTATTCCAACCGATAAAACACTTAATGCTACGACGGAACATTTACAGACTACGACAGACGCAACCACCATTAGGTATACCATAATGCATATAGGAAATCAAACAGAAATGCGCACCCGTTACACGGATATAGAAGCTGAAAGCGAAATAACTGAATCGTACGATAGCACAACAGAAACATATAAGACTACAAAACAATTAATGGTTGCTAGCACCTTTTTGCCAAATGATATAAAAACTTCATCGGTACCATTCCACACAACGAACGACAAAAATTTGCAATTGACTACTCCTACAACACGAATCCCAAACCAACCACCAACAACACAAGAAACCACAACAATTGAAACTGAAAAAGTTTCTTCTGAACCAACAATTTCATTTGGGGTAAAAGAACAAACATTACCCACAACTTCGACGGAAACAGAATCTTCTGAACCAACTACTGCATCCACATTGCCAAATATAAATCGTTCAACCACACTACCTGAAGAATCTACTACACTTTCAATTGAAAGTATCACTACTGAACATAATATTTTCATTCCAACCACTAAAAAAACGCTTACACAGGAAGAACACACTATTCCAACTGAAATAACATACTCTGAAAAAACCACTTCCCTACCAACGGCCCACCAAATGAAAACCTCACACGAGACAACCGACCAACCAACACTGCAACCAGAACCAACAAAACCCACTGAAAAATATTCTTTCGAAGGAACTACTCCTATGCAAACAGAACTTCCAACAGCATTATCTAAAGAAACTACTACGATTTCGTTAGAAACAAAACCAACTGATCGGGAGAGTTTCCCTTCAATAACTGAACAGACAACTGAACAAGAAACTGGAACTACTCATCCTGAAAGAAAACACTCTGAAGGAACAACCTTCATACCTCTTGCTAACATTTCAACACCTTACTCTACGGAAACAACTACACAACCTTACAAAACGGGCCCCACTGAACAAAGTAGTTCAGTGGAGTCAACCGGTTCTACCCTTAGATATGAAACGACAACATCACATGTGACAACCGAAAAATCGACTAAAAAATATTCTGCTGAAGGAACTACCCCGACCTATTTGAAGGACACAAAACTTCCAACAACATTATCTGAAGACACTACTACGATTTCCTTCGAAACAAGACCAACTGATCGGGAGAGTTCCCTTTCAACTACTGAACAAACAACTAGACAAGAAACACAAACTATGTCTACTGAAAGAAAACACTCTGAGGGAACCACTTTCACACCTCTTGCTAAGATTTCAACACCTTACTCTACGGAAACAACTACACAACCTTACAAAACGGGCCCCACTGCAGAAAGCAGTTCAGTGGAGTCCACAGGTTCTACTCTGAGTTATGAAACGACAACATCATATGTGACAACCGAAAAATCGACTGAAAAATCTTCTTCTGAAAGAACTACTCCAACCTATTTGAAGGACACAAAACTTCCAACATCATTATCTGAAGAAACTACTACGATGTCATTGGAAACAAGACCAACTGATCGGGAGAGTTTCCCTTCAACTGCAGAACAGACGACTGAACAAGAAACTGGAACTACTCCTACTGAAAGAACACACTCCGAAGGAACAACCTTCATACCTATCGCTAACACTTCAACAACCTCTTCTGGGGAAACAACTACACCACCTTACAAAACGGGCCCCACTGCAGAAAGCAGTTCAGTGGAGTCCACAGGTTCTACTCTGAGTTATGAAACGACAACACCACATATGACCACCGAATCGACTGAAAAATATTCTGCTGAAGGAACTACTCCGACCTATTTGAAGGACACAAAACGTCCAACAACATTATCTGAAGAAACTACTACGATTTCAATAGAAATAAAACCAACTGATCGGGAGAGTTTCCCTTCAACTGCAGAACAGACGACTGAACAAGAAACTGGAACTACTCCTACTGAAAGAACACACTCCGAAGGAACAACCTTCATACCAATTGCAAACACTTCAACAACCTCTTCTGGGGAAACAACCACACAACCTTACACAAAGGGCCCCACTGCACAAAGCAGTTCCGTGGAGCCCATAGGTTCTACTATGAGTTATGAAACGACAACATCACATATGACAACCGAAAAATCGACTGAAAAATCTTCTTCTGAAAGAACTACTCCAACCTATTTGAAGGACACAAAACTTCCAACAACATTATCTGAAGAAACTACTACGATTTCGTTAGAAACAAAACCAACTGATCGGGACAGTTTCCCTTCAATAACTGAACAGACAACTGAACAAGAAACTGGAACTACTCATCCCGAAAGAAAACACTCTGAAGGAACAACCTTCATACCTCTTGCTAACATTTCAACACCTTACTCTACGGAAACAACTACACAACCTTACAAAACGGGCCCCACTGAACAAAGTAGTTCAGTGGAGTCAACCGGTTCTACCCTTAGATATGAAACGACAACATCACATGTGACAACCGAAAAATCGACTAAAAAATATTTTGCTGAAGGAACTACCCCGACCTATTTGAAGGACACAAAACTTCCAACAACATTATCTGAAGAAACTACTACGATTTCCTTCGAAACAAGACCAACTGATCGGGAGAGTTCCCTTTCAACTACTGAACAAACAACTAGACAAGAAACACAAACTATATCTACTGAAAGAAAACACTCTGCGGGAACCACTTTCACACCTCTTGCTAAGATTTCAACACCTTACTCTACGGAAACAACTACACAACCTTACAAAACGGGCCCCACTGCAGAAAGCAGTTCAGTGGAGTCCACAGGTTCTACTCTGAGTTATGAAACGACAACATCATATGTGACAACCGAAAAATCGACTGAAAAATCTTCTTCTGAAGGAACTACTCCAACCTATTTGAAGGACACAAAACTTCCAACAACATTATCTGAAGAAACTACTACGATTTCAATAGAAATAAAACCAACTGATCGGGAGAGTTTCCCTTCAACTGCAGAACAGACGACTGAACAAGAAACTGGAACTACTCCTACTGAAAGAACACACTCCGAAGGAACAACCTTCATACCTATCGCTAACACTTCAACAACCTCTTCTGGGGAAACAACTACACAACCTTACAAAACGGGCCCCACTGCAGAAAGCAGTTCAGTGGAGTCCACAGGTTCTACTCTGAGTTATGAAACGACAACACCACATATAACCACCGAATCGACTGAAAAATATTCTGCTGAAGGAACTACTCCGACCTATTTGAAGGACACAAAACTTCCAACAACATTATCTGAAGAAACTTCTACGATTTCGTTCGAAACAAGACCAACTGACCGGGATAGTTCCCTTTCAACTACTGAACAAACGACCAGACAGGAAACACAAACAATGCCTACTGAACGAAAACACTCTGAGGGAACCACTTTCACACCTCTTGCTAAGATTTCAACACCTTACTCTACGGAAACAACTACACAACCTTACAAAACGGGCCCCACTGCACAAAGCAGTTCCGTGGAGCCCATAGGTTCTACTATGAGTTATGAAACGACAACATCACATACGACAACCGAAAAATCGACTGAAAAATCTTCTTCTGAAGGAACTACTCCAACCTATTTGAAGGACACAAAACTTCCAACAACATTATCTGAAGAAACTACTACGATTTCAATAGAAATAAAACCAACTGATCGGGAGAGTTTCCCTTCAACTGCAGAACAGACGACTGAACAAGAAACTGGAACTACTCCTACTGAAAGAACACACTCCGAAGGAACAACCTTCATACCAATTGCAAACACTTCAACAACCTCTTCTGGGGAAACAACCACACAACCTTACACAAAGGGCCCCACTGCAGAAAGTAGTTCAGTGGAGTCAACA